TTTCTTTAAAATATATTTATTACATCTTTATCTGTGCAAAGGAAATATGTATCCGTGTTCCACATGTTTGACATAACAAATATTCGTTCATACATCAGCCCATTTTAAAACAAATTTAATATTTCCCTGCGACTTCGCTGTAAATCTTAATATATTACCTCATTTCTCCCCATTCTATTTATTCGGGTATACGTGTTGCCGCCCCTAAATATATGGCGTCAATTTTTCAAGATGCTACGGTTTCAGTTTTATACCTTTTTTATTCGCCGTTTAATTCCGCCTAGAGCGCTCGCCTCTAAATTCCGGAGTTGCTGAATCGAAGGAAAACAATTGCCCATATTTGGAAGGCGCACATTCGGATCGAACGGATACAAAAACCGTGGCAGGAAATCGCTCAAGACGATATTTGATATCAAAGCAGGCAAATCGAAACGGTTTCGGATGAGGGCGAGCCGGTGTGGGGGTTAATATTTAATTGACGGGGATTGATGGGCCTTCCAAGTTTCATCTGCTTTATTCGAGTGTAAAAAGGTCTTGTCGGAATTAAGGGAACGGAATGAAATTAACAGAAATCTGTATCACCGAATTATTTATTAGAAGAGAAGAGAGTTTTTATTTGCAAATTCATTTGACACATTAGTGACAATGTGAACTTATTTGAATGTTTATATGAAAAAATAAGGCTTTGGCATTTCGTTAAACTTAAGGAAGGTTTCTGTCAACGTTAAGGCTTACCACCCATTTAAAATTTTTATATTTTGAAGAATTTTGATAATTTCTTTTTACTACAACCTATATTATTACTGTTTTAAAATCCGAGATAAAAGTTGTAGTTATAGGAATTTAAAAAAAAATTCTTAATCATTCTTTATTAATATCTTATTCGTTATGTTTAGATTCATAATTTTGTAAAAAATTCCTACAACTAGAAAAATTATTTTACCTACGACCACTACTGTAAATACTTAAAAACACACCGTCTGCGATCAATGTAAAGTTCCTATTACGCACGGTAAAAAATCGCACAGTTTTCCTAGCAACCGCCTGGCAACGGTTAATACAATACTGTTTGTATTGACCGTTGCTAGGCGATTGCTAGGAAAACTGTGCGTTTTTTTTACCAAGCTGTGCGATTTTTTTACCGTAGGTAAAATAGGAATCTTACATTGATCGCAGACGGTGAATCCGAAACTGACCTCCAAATTATTCTATCATTTTAGGATTCTGAGATTTTCTAACCTAAAAGTGCAAAGCCAATCTGTTTGGGGTTGTAGCACTCGCAGGTTATTGTACACTTGGGTTAACCTGTCTGGGGTTTAGCGTTTGCAGATTATTGTGCACTTGGGTTAACATGTCTAGGGTTTAGCCTAACCTAACCTAACCACCCGAAGTTATGACATGAATTTAGAAAACACCCTGTAAACGATTTTCTAGGAAGAATGTGGTAAATAAATTGAATAATTAATTTGTGATGACAATAAGCCTTGGTGACTCGACAAGACGAAACCAATTGCAAATTAAATTTATACAAATGAATGACTAATGCGGCGAAGAAATTTTGAAACTAATTTTCAGCTAAACGGGTCAGGTGTAAATGTACAATTAGACTGCTGGATGGCGTAGTGGAAGTAATAATTAATTCAAAGTATCCCGTCTTTATGTTACGGTGCGCCTACATTTTGTTCTTGTTGAGATGCGGTCATGTTACGTTGTCAGCGAGACTAACTTAATTGGAATACGTAACAGATTTACTTGCCTTTGGACATAAGGGGTTTATGGTAACATTGTAACTGGCAGCTGTACGAGGTGTCACTGGAATAGAGTTAGGAATGTCTGGGACGTTCTAAATTCGGAACCGATATATGTCTGGTGGTTCTACTGACGAGTGACCTATTTACAGATTTTTGTGGGTATAATTCAACATTGATCAGAGTATTACCCTACAGACTCAAGCAAAATAATACTAATAGCTGTGTAGCTTGCCTAGAGTAGAAAGTGGTAACAGCACAGACTGACACTCAAATAAGTTTGCGTCTGTGCTAGCTCCGCCCACAAATGCGCACTAGACACAGCGAGGCAAATGCTCGAGAGTGTATACGTGTAGTAGCATTTGAAGTTGAGAGGTGAACATCTATTTTTCTTTATAACCTTTTTGTTTCTCGTGAAACTTAGATACTTTTCTGGTAAAATGAAGCTGTTTCTACCGACGTATTCTTTGAAGTGAAAAAAGTATACCTACTAGTTTGTTGTTGATAAAATTAATTATTTTCGATGTAAGCGCGTTTAGCAATTTAATGGGGCGAATATAAAAACTTCTCTCTCTTCCCCGTGAAGAGACTGTTAATAGTAAACATTGTAAAAACACATTCGTCTTGCACTTTCGCGTTCAAAAAGACACCTCCTTTAATTAAACTATAGTTGCTACATGCCTAAATACCACTACCTGCGGAACAGACACAACTCTACTTGCCAGTTTACCGAAGTTTTACTACGTTTTAGTTCACGTAATTCAACAAACTTGGCAATAGAAAGCGCTTAAAGCTTTTTAAGTGTCAAAACCTTTTAGAAGAATTTCAATTAGGAGTCCAGTAACTGTTGCTCTTTTCTTGGTTTGCTCTACTGTACTGTGCAATCGATAACATTTCTAAATCTACGCGGAAAAGAAAATGCTGTATAGATGAATTAGTTTATTAAACAATTTAATGCGTAATGTGCGTCAATAATTTCTTATAAATTTTTATAATCATACTCTATAAGAAGAACATTAACGACATTATTTTATTATGCACGATTTTCTTAAAGGCATATTCAAATGTTTTCTTGATGTGTGAAAGAACACCAATATAAAGGGAGCATCTGTATTGTTGTCAAATAAGGGTATCATACACAAGAAATAAATTGACTTGTAAATAACAATTCATATGCGGCACAAGGAACGAAAATATGGTGGATCCCTCCATGCTATGGCCTTTTGGGAAATATCCTAGTGTGTTAATGTAATAACGCAGTTGAATTACAATGGTTGTAATGTCATTTTTAAATATGTATTATGATTAACAAGCACGTATTCTAACTTTTTTAAAAACAGCTACAATGAAATTTACAAAAATAGTTAATTTAAAATGTTAACTACTGTTTACGTCCCTTGTTATTCTGGACAATAAATCAATGATCTTGATCTTCAGCCTCTTGAGTAATTGATGAAAATACGCTTGGAAGAATCGCATAGCCCTTTAGAATCTTATTAGAAAAAAATTCTTATATCACCTTATAATCGGATTTTTATCGACACATATGAACCGTTTAAAGTAATACTATATCCACTTGTGGAATAAAGTAACTACTTCACTAGTAGAATAATGAAAAAATAATAAACCTATAATAAATCATATTTAATTTATTTACTTATTAACATTAACATTTACATTTATAGTAGACATTTGCTTTTTTGTTTTATCACATTTAACTTCCTCTCCGTTAATAACAACTCTTGTAGCATTGTTGCCATTATTTTCAGAACGCATTACCTCTGCCGAAGTTTGTGAAGAATTTGCACAAGTTACGGATGTCTCTTCTTTATAAGGAACATCTATATTTTCTCTGCATTTTCCTATCATCAAGTTTGTTAACAACAACATAGCTCTCTGCTACAGAGAAGCTCTTCCATCCACCATATCATTTGATGGTTGTAAGATCGGCACCTTTATTGGCCAATAAAGTTGTTGAAGTGTCTCATACAATGGCCAGTATATGCTTCTGGATTTGCGATATTCAGCAATGAAGCAACTATTGAGGGTACCTTTGCCAACGTGTTGATTCCAACAGGCTGAGAATTACATTTTTGATTGATGTATTTTAAAATGAATTTGTCTTGTATTAGGCGAATTGGGCACAGAGAAATATATTTTCTGCATATTTCAACAGCATTCACGTAAAATAATTCTTCTATAATTGTAAATTTTCTTGAAATGCCCGTCTTGGTGTCAGGTATTGAAACAAGTGGGTAACTGACAACGTCCTGTATGTTATTAATTTTCAAATTTGTCAATTCGCAGTATCAACAGGCACCAGAAATCCCATTATTAGTGCAACCTAAAATAACTCAAAGTTCACTATATACCTAACAACATGTAAAAGGTAAAGAGATTACCTTAATCATTAATTATTCTTTATCGGATACCCCAGTAAAAAATTCTCCAATATGTGCCCTTTCCAATTGTGCAGCTTTTTTTGCTTTGTACCCTCAAGAGTTACTCTTTAAATAAGCAGTAAGATTGTTATATTTTCCAATATCTATATTTTTGTAGACCTTTATTAGTAACCTTCAACATGGAATACTTCGACCACATAGATGAAATTGTATATATATTTTTTCAAATTTAAAAAATACGATAGCATGACTTCATCATTTATTGTCATTACTGTCCGTTTTTCCTTCCATTCGTTAAATTCGGCGAACAATTGTTTAATGTTCCCTGAATTTCGCTGGCAATAAATGGAAAGTTACTTATTGAGCTTCTGCAAAAACAGCCACAGGAACACAATTACTTTCTTGCATTTTTACGTTTTTTTGTTTATTAAATAACTGATAATAAACAACGTACCATAGCAACCAGTAGGTACAACAAAACCTACCACGTTTCATTGAGTACTAGTAAGAAATATAAAGTGGTGCGAATATTTTGTTATTAAATTCCAAAATTCTGACTCCTCAAATATGATTGTGATGTGATTGTGTAAACGTTGTATTGCATTCGTGTTTTAATTGCCTTTTATCCACTTAAGAATATTAAACGCTCGAGTCGAACTACGTTCTCGCGTTTAAACATTCTTGCGTGGATAAAATGCTACTTAAAACGCTTACACAATAAATAACTATTATTTCCATGATTCCTTAAATTCCGGGAAGTGAATTGACCTTTTAATACCAACATTATAATAAATTTAGTCTTTCTACTTAATTGTGGTTCTTTCCAGCTACCGGCATGTTGTAGTCGACGATGAAGTCTGCACTCCTATACCGATACAGCGGCTTTTCTGGCACTGGGGGCTGTTGCAGACTACTTAACCCCAGACACGCCGCCATCACGGCAGCTATTTACACTTTGGTAAGTTAACTCTATTAGCTTTGTAGCTGCTAGTTAGCGATATTGGCTGTGCCAATAATACGGCGTATCGTCGTGCTATTAGCACCTCAGAGTTGCGTCATCGAATTAGCAGGGATAGCTGATGCGTTTGATGAATTATCTGAAGCGCGAACAGAATTAAGGCCTGTACAGCTCATTTCGGATGCTTAAATATATATAAAACTTTTATTCCATTAAGTAACTTGGAACAAGGCTTGTTCTACTTTATCACGAGTTCATACAACTGCTCATAGACCAAGAAAGGAAACATTTTGAAATTTATTAATTACTCATCTCGTGGATCATGAAAAAAGTATAGCGTCATTGTTTGTTATTGTTATTAAATATTATGCCTGTCCCAATTTCAATACGGATTTACAAATCAAAGATCAATAGCATCTAATTTAATTACTGTGACTCCAGAAACAAATCTATGGGGAGATTCAACACATCTTTCCTGGAAACTTATGAGCTGACACGGGACATAAAATTTCCTAAGATAATTTCGAAAAAGTTCTCCGGTACCTTATATGAGGCTTCCAGTAGAAGATGTAATAAACTCAATAATAGTTTGGAAGCTGGAAAAACTTCGTGTTTAACTTTTCCATAAGAGTAAATTTAATTTACTTACTTCCGTTCGAACGGTAATAAGGATTGGAAGTTGTAGGGCGTATATCCTTACTATGGACGCCGTGCCTGAGGAAGTTTGGAAGTTTAGTTTAGTTTATACACCTCTAAATTGTACGTTAGTGAAGAAAAATGGGCGAAAATGTTTGTGTAACAGAATTATTAGGAGTCTCCCATGTAAGCTTAGAAAGCTTTCTTGTCAAAATGGATTACATATTTTCTTTATATTTGTTCGGGCCAATTTCTACATATTTTTCTCGTATTTTCCAAGGAGATAAACAAAATGTATTATTAAGATGGCTCGGTTTCATTTTCTGGAAAAAATGGACGGGGAAACCGCATCCCAATATCTTGATTCCTTTAAGAGGCTGTTTTTCGTCTGTCACCTAGGGAAATGCGAGAAGCTCCCTCAAATGTATCGAAGTTGATCCAACTTTTATATACTCGGCGTTTTTGCATTTGGGACAGATACAAAAGATATACTATGTAAAATTTCATTGGGAAAAACATTGATCCTTGACATATACAGGGTGTCCGCAAATTTCACCGACAACGTTTGTCTGCATATTCACGATAATAAATAAATAGGATCTACGAAAAAAAGTTAAATAAAAATTTTTTAGTTTTTAAGTTCTAGCCTTCAAGCTTTAATCAAATCGATATACTGGGTGATAGTTTTCTCCGGTTACCTTTCCGTTTTAGCGATCAAAATCTTTAAAAATGAAACGAATAATAATAAATTATTGATATAGCAACCATAATTTCTATTTATCAGGCTACTTTGATTGAAATATGAAATTATATATTTTAAATGCTTGTAGCTTCTAAACCAAAATTAATCGGACCTATGTTCATGTAAGAACAAATGTTTGAAATTAACCCAGCTATCATCTGTCAAAGTTTGTCATAGAGCTTGTAGAACACTCTGTATAATAAACAAATGTTGGGTGATGTAGAATAAATTATTATTAAATAAGGATACGAGAAAATCTAGTTCACCATTATTTGATTTTAGAGACGTAATCTGAGATAATTGGTCTTCATACATAAAGCCATAGATAATAGAAACAGGAGCATTATTGATTTATCTCAAGTCTGCCATATCGTATCGTACAATGAGCCTTCAATAAGATTAAAATAATACTGTTTAACAACATACATGGGTAGATTGCTATCGTACGTATCAATTATTTGTTTTATGGAAATTCGATGGTGTAGTTACAATATAAATGCCACTATTATGAAAAACCTATAAGAAACAGTAAAAATAATACATTTTCATTCCGAAATACCTACTCCTCCATTTATTCCTTTTAATTTTAAAATTTGTCGTTGCTTTAAAATTAAAACGTATTTTATTTTTATTTTGATACATAACAAAAGTTTTAACTATTTTGACAAAATAGATTTTTCCTAAATTCCGTTAACAAAATTGAGCTCTTTATTTTGAGTTTATCACTAACCATAGTGACTTGAAACTTTGTCTTAAGTTTTGCAGGTACTTTATAAATACGATTTATAAAATATATAATTTTAATACCAAACATGAAAAGCAATTATACTAGATAATCGTTAATAAAACTAAGGCGTAGAATATAACTTTAGTGATCTACATGTTCCAAAGGGAATGTTCTCCACACTTTCTAATTATACAAGCGGAAGCAGGGATTTTTAAAATGGAAATTTATTGCGATTATACTTAATTTTATATAGCTGCACGAAATGGAAATGGATCATGTTGCAGCTACAAAGGTAATGTTATAATGGGGGCATAAATATCCATAAAACATAACTGCTTGTAACATAATTTATGGTAATTTCATCACAATTGGCTACTGAGAGAAAGCTACTCTGTGTTAACATAAAATTTTCTACTTTTATCATCTACAATCAAGGAAAAGTGGTGTAATGTCAAGTTAGTCAAATAGTTATATTTCAAATACCTAAAAATCAAATACTTCGTCAAAATTAGTTAGTTTTTACCAGTCACTACATTTTATGGCAACATTTTCTTGAGGTTAAGTTTTTCACGGTATGAGAGGTTGTCACAAACTAATGACTAATTTTTTGTTGCAGAACATTTCTATCCTCGTAGTCCTCATCTATAGTTGGAGAATTAGTGTCAACGTCAAAAAATATTCAACATTAGAAGATGTATATTATGGTAAGTACGTATTAAATGTATCAGTATGTATCTACCCTAGTCTGAATTAAAGCTTAGAGCATATTATTGTGTCGTGTCTAGATGACTGGTTACATTATTTTAAGGTATGTTTAAATGTGACTGAAGATATAGGCACTTATAAAATTGTTCCGTATCGATCGTGTGCAATTGTGACTACGACAGCACAATTAAAGAAGTTGATAATTTTCTCTTTGAAATATATTAGTTAGATGAAGAAGAGATATTCCTACAAAGCAATATTTGAATTTACAATAAATCTTGAAAGTGCTTTGTTTTAATTTTTATTCATTCTATGCCAATTTTAAATGTGAAACGGTCTGCTTATTATTTCTGGGCTCGAGACAGATATGGACCAAGAAATACAATAACGAAATAAAACCTGCAATTTATCTCGTTTCATCATGCCTATATGATGCGAGATTAAGGTCTCATTATCCTGCTGTCGCAGGGATGTGGGTATCATTAGTAATGCTCAAACAGAATTGCATATAATAGATTTGTAGGTTTCATTCAGAATTGCATTCTGTAAACATGCTACATGATAAATGTTGCCTCCATGCGCTCAAACTGTTAGTATTAAGTAATTTTAGTTAATTTTGTAATTGTAGGTAATTTAATGGAATTCAGGACTCAGTTCATGTTTCGAGTCTAACATCAGTACATTTCCTGCAGAAAGCATTTTCTGAATTTATCACATTTAATTTTTCTTACGCATTTTGATAATTTTGCAATGTTTTATTTTAGTATTAATATATTAATTAAAATTAAACCTATCTATTTTTTATAATTGATCTCCATTGAACGAATACCTCTATACAGGGTGTCTCACTAAGGTCGGCGAGGTACGATATTAGGGAAAGTATAGGCTCTATAACTTCGCGAAAAAAAAATTGATTAATAAACCGACTAAGAGAAATCGCTGGAAATAGTTTTCAAGCTTGTAGCTCGGTCGCTAGGGGGCACAATCTACATACCAAAACATACAGGGTGTCCCGAAATTAATGCAACAAAATTTGGTCATAGATTCTTAAGACAAATTTAGCGGACCGGTATTTTCTTTTTGCCAATTGGCTCCCCTCTTTCCCCGAAATCTGCCCTAAGAAGTCTTTTTTATACGTCAGAACCATGTTGTACGAGAATCACTAACAGAGGTTTTATGATATGTGGAATCTCACAGTGCTACGCTTTTTGGCGAGAAACCTCCTTAAGACACTTTTACGTGGTCCCCCCTTGTCTTTGGAACAAAAAATTTTTTACTTTTTTTCGAATCACGATATGCATTTGATCACATTTTGACATTTTTCTCGAAAATAATTTTTTTTACGAAGTTCTATACTTTTCGTAACATCGTACTTCGTCGCCCTTAGTGGGACACCCTGTATAATACAAAACTTCATCACAAACGACACAATAATGTGTTCCAAGTTTAAATGTTCAACTTATACACTTTTGAAAGTAATAGGCTTATGCTTAATTAAGTTAATCATAATAATTTAAATTTGGAAAATTATATTATCAGCGACAATGTAGGTACCTATTTAAAATTTGTATATTATGTCAACTAATGCTTCACTGCGAAAGAGTTACAATAATTACGCCGTTATGTAATGTTCCACAGATTCTATGAAAATTCTTTACGAAACACGGCGCGCTCAGCGAAGAACAAATATTTACAAGTTTTAAACAAAATCAATATTTCTCTTGGTAATAACAGCTGTTATAGTCGGAAACAAAGAAGTAGCACGTGTTCCGTCAAAACTAGGTCGAACTTGTACACGTGTTCGTATATTAAATAATTTTATAGGAAAATTGTATAAAGCTCCCGCTTTCTCACTTATTTCATATACGCATATGTCATACGAGGGTCACCAGAATTTAGTATTTGACAAAAATATTTAACCAATTACAAGTACATATTTATTTTAGTATAATTAATTAATGTTTATTCATAGTAATCTAATGTTGAAAATTTATCATAATGTTATACGAACTTTTGTAATACTAATTCCTGGAACTGTACCGCCCACTTGTGTAGTAGGTACTTTACTTTTAATTCGATTTGCTTTTAGCCGTTTTGCACCTAAAAAAACGCTTAAGATTTTCAACAAGAATATATTACTTATGTTATATGATGTATACCGGATGACCCAGATTTAAAGCTGGAGCAATTCGTCTTAGTCAGCAGTCCTCAAGGTTTATTTTAAAAACGGTAGCTCAGTTTTGGTTGAACAGTGTCTGTTTGAAGTTTCTATTAGTTTTTTATGATAAATAATTAATTATTGGAGAAACTCACATTTCATTTTATGCGATTCAATAAAGAAATTCGTCGTCTTCATATTGACAGCGACCCAACTGTAACTCGACTGTAACAATTGTCGAGTTGTTCACTTAACATTCACGGAACCTTTTCGGCACATATTTTATGCTAATCTAGAAGATTGATAACAATCCCATGCAGTAAAGAACGTGAAGTGAAAAGAAAACTAAGTTGAAATGTATCAGGAGCAAATCGGCGTTTAATCATTTGATTCACCATTCACCTATTGCTTCAAGCTTTCGGTCACAATAACAGGCATTTTCGTTGTAGAATATCAAGTTTGGTTGTCAAATTCGGAACAACACTTTTATCTAGTAAGCATGCAGTAAACAATTAAATCTTTTGATTGTATACGTTTCTATGCTTTCAGAGCTGATTTTCCTTGTCAAAACAAACAAAAAGGACGTAGCAATATATTTTCTTGTTAAATGATCCTAAGGGTTCTATGATTCTTAGACATAGTCTTTAAATTTGGTACAGCTAGATATGGCTCACAGTTATTACTTCTCTATGAAATAAAGTTTTTTTTCGACATTTGAAACTTCTAAGAATCCTACTTATTTAGACACCATACCCTACAATTGTAGAGTAGGTAGGTAAATGGTCTATTTATTTTTAATTTAGTAAAAGACTTTTAAATACATTTGTAAAAAGTATGAAAGTGGACAGATCGTAATGCATATAGCAATTATAGTTACAAAGCTACGTACTACAATAAAAAATCTCAGATTATCAGATTAAAATTATTAATGTCGAAATTTATTTTAAATTATAAATAAATTTGTAACTATACCGCGCCGTGATTGCCTCATTTCCTTATTAAATGGTAAAATTTCTCTGCAATGCATTGCTGCAAGCCAAATGATTGCGCCGCATTTGAGAATTTCAATTTATTCAATACATAATTCAAAAGTTACCGCGCAGATTGCGGTAAATCGCATCACAGGGTAAAACTCTTCCATTCCAGTAACAATTATCGCTCCAGAGATTTTACTACCAGCTTGAAAGTGCTGTTCCTATTCATTCTGCAGCATGTGGTTGCATTGGTAAGTAGAATATACAATGTTTTGAAAAAAAGTTACGTAAATTCATGAGCTGAATAACAATAAGACGATTCTTTCCTATGCGCTCAGTAGCAAGTTTAATTTTTGTCACACTTTTGTTAAAATCCATGCATTGCATTGAAATTTGGTACAACTGAGTATTCGATGATGATAAATACGTCGATATTGTTAGTTTTCTCGCGACTTGCTTCAAAGTTAGCACATACCTGCACAATTCTTTTGTATTTTAATCAACTTACGGATTTGAAGAAACAAACATTAAATCTAAACAAGCACTTGTTATCGATTTTAATCAAGTTCAATTTACTGTATGAAGCATAGTATTATAAGTAATTACGAAAAATAAAACAAACTTAAGAGCACCTTGATAGAGCAGCAATATACTTTTCAATTCCGTGGCTGCAAAATTTCCTCTCAGCTAGAAAATTGAAGTATTAACTTTGTGCTGGAAGCTATTACCAGGGAAATTAATAATATTCAAAATGAAGCAACTGCCCTTTATACTAAACATCAATGTCTTATTTACGTAAGTACAATCGTAGAGTGTATCTAAATTATACAGCGCGTTTCGTGCTGTTGGTCAAACTTTTTATTTCTTGTTTGCTGTAGGTGTATCTCAAAACCAAACGGATTTACGATATAGGTATGTCTTAGTGCATCTAGTGCAATCTGTCATTAATTCATCCTTCGTGGTACTGATCACTTCCATTGCCTATTTCAGTGACTTTCATTTCTGCTATTTCAGATCTCGTACTCATTGGGATTCACTGTATTCTCAAATAATCCTCAAGATTCCACTTCTGACATCAATTTGTACCAAAATAACTTTATTTAGCACAATATGCAACAGTTTACAAACTTCGACAACTTGAGGTTTCACAGTAACAGAAAATTTAAATGTATAAACAACTTTCGCTACAATATTAAAGAATTAAATTAAGTAGCTTTGCTTTCTTTGAATTATTTTGCGACGTTCTCTTAAAGCGCTCGTAGTATAGACCCTTTAATACTCCCACGATATCATATCCACGATGTCTATTCTCCCCTTTATGTTTCAAATCCCAGGAGTATACATATATAAATCTTCTTATCGTCATCTTGACCACATCTGTCAGCCTCTCACAAAACACGCTATTCCCAGCTCTTACAGATTTTCACACATATATTGCCTCTCCTTATATTCCATAAATAATGGATTTCGCATAGCGCACGGCCCGTTATTTCCTGAAAAACGTCCCGAGTTATTCTGTCTCCAGGCTGCATCACTGCTCCGTATCACTCTAAACGTAAGGCTCGACCTTACATTTAGAGCCCTTACATTTACACTGTATTCTCGTTTCATATGTGAGACACTCAACGTTAACGAAGTGTAGTTAATCACGTAAACACCTTTTTAGCATTTCGTTGACGTGTGTTATTATGATTTAAATGCTCGAATTAAAATAATAAATTCTGCTTTTATGTGCGGGACACCGAATGAATCCTTAAAGGCAAGAAAGGTTTTTGGAGCTTTTTAATCCGGAATCAGTATACGAGGGTGGTCTGAAAAGTTTCCGACCTCAACATGAAGATGGCAGCACTCGTAAATTAAAGCTAGT